ATAATATATAAATTTTATTTATTTATTAATAATAAATATATATCATTTGATATATTGAAAAAAATTATAATATGTGTTAACTTGAATAGACAAATAATTGTATAATTTTAAAATATTGTGTATATATATATATATATATATACTAAAATTATTTAATTTTTAATGAGAGAGACTAAAATCATACGATTATGATATTTGAGGGACTAAAATTGTTCAATTAAAAATTGAAAGACCAAAATCGCACAATTGCAATCCTTCAAAGACTAAAATTACCTAATTAAAACTTTGAAGATCAAAATTATACAATTACAATATTTGAGGGATAAAAACGTAATTAAGCAAAAAAAATTATAATTATGATAAACATAAACGAGTTATAAGTTATCATATTTTAAAAATTTGTTTAAAACATTTTTTATTGACAGGAAAGGAGTTTAACTTATTTTAAAAAATAATTTAAAAAATGAAAGAAATAAGTGATCGATTTCAAATGTATATTTAAATTATCTGAAAATAAAAGTACCAAAATTTAAAACTATAATTTTAGTTTTTATTATTATATAATAATTTTTAATCATGATCATATATAATTGGTTTTTCATATTTTATTATTAATTTTATTTTTTATAAACTAAAATTAGGTGAATACTTACTAATAATTTTTGTTATTATTTTTAATATTATTATGATATATAATATAATTTTTTAAATTTTTATTTATTTATAGTTAATATTTAATTTATAACTTTTCAAAAATTTAAAATAAAATAATCTTAAATAATAATATATATACCTCTGAATATTTTGAAATTATATAACTGTTTATGACAAATATATAAATATAGTAATTTATTAAATTTTAAGTATTTATAACATATTTTTATTATATAATAAATTGTTAAATAAAATATTAATTAACTTTTTTGTCTAAATGAATATGATATAAAATATAAAAAATTATTATTATTTAAATAAATATATGTAGATGAAGTAAAAATTTAGATGGAAGTAATGTTTTGTAAAATTTGATTTTTGATTGAGAACGTAAAAAAAAAATAGGTGGGGAAAGGTTAAAAAAAGAAGCAGTAAATGATGTTTGAATATCACGAGAAATAAGAGAGTACATTGAGATGTGACAAAGGGTACAGAGTATGAATTTTGGCATGTCAAGTCGCTGTTCTTCTTTTATTGTTTTCCCTCAGTATTTAACGTTAAATCACATCCAGAATTCAGAGCAACCCGTAATTCTCTCTTTCTCTCTCCTTACCTTTTTACTCTTTCAATTCTCCCTCTCTGACTCTTTCATTTCTCACCTTTCATCACCTTTCTATTATTACAGAGTATGTGTTGATGATGTAAATATAATGTTAGAGCATATGTAACGAGCTTGCTTATAAGCAACTCAACTCTTCTCATATCACTAGTATATCGGTTTTACTCTATTTTATGAGTTGTTTAAATTTTAGCAGAGTTATTTGTAGAAATAATTTTATTAAAATGTAAACAATTTATAAAATGAGTCAGAGCTGATTTAGCAGTGATATGACATAGGAGTTACTTGTAAGTAACCCTTATTAAAGATGATTTTAGAAATTATCATCAGTGTTATTGATTTTTACAATTATTACTCATTATATTATGATTGATGAAGTCTAATTCAATTAGTTGTGAAGTATGAAGCAGGGGAGTTATAAACTTTTTATAAGTAGTTTAGTTTTTACATATAAAAAAATTATCACACAATTTAAAAATTTAGTTATGATGTTTTTTTTAATAGTTAATGAGTAAGAAATACACATTTACTTTTTAAATAATACTACTTAACACATTTTTTAATTAGTTATTTGAATATAAAAAAAAAAACCTTAATGCACAATGAAAATGTTATTTTAAAAGGCCATGTGCCTAGTTTTTGTTTGTTTTTGAGAACTGGTGGAGAGGGAGAAGAGAAGAGTGAGTAGCTACTACATCTACAACTAGCCGGTAAAAGAGAGAGAATCTATAAGTGTGAAGAAACTCACATGCAACCCCTTTTACCGTTTGCATTTGCACAAGGAGTTTTGGTTGGAAACAAAGGGAGAGAGAAAAGAGGGAGCGTGTTTCGTTCCAAACAGCACTGAAGAAATGACTAAAGAAGAGGACTTTAAGCTCCTTAAAATCCAGGTCTTTCTCCTTATCCTTATCCATCACATGCTTTCTGTCTTTCTTTCTTTTAACACCCCATTCCATTTCCTATGAACACACACAGCAAAGTTGTTTGTTGGTCTTTTCCTCAGGAATCTTTCTCTTTTCTTTTCTTGTTTCTTCTCATCATTTTCATCTACAGACTTGTGTTCTCAAAGTGAACATTCACTGTGATGGCTGTAAGCAGAAAGTGAAGAAACTCCTTCAGAGAATTGAAGGTCCTCCCTTTCTTTTCCATATCATGTCTTGTCTTCACTATTCACTCACTATGCTCATTCTTGTCTACATTAACTCTAGCTTCCCTTCTTTTCTTCACAACTATATGCACGGAACACAAAATAATCGTAGTATAGTATAATATGTAGTACATTTATGATATAACATCATACTCAATTTCAGCATTGCTAACTCACATCAAAGTGTTTCCTTTCATAAGCTATTATCGGAGTTAACTGAAAACAAAAAAAAAAACTGTTTAGCCTATTTCATAACTGATTTGCTGCTTTATGTAGACAGAGGATGAATATTTTGTTTTTAAATCTTCAATGGGAAAATCAGACTTTTAGTTTTCTTGTTTGGAACTTGTAGCGGTTTGACCTTGGTGTACGATCAAAATAGCTCAAGTAATTTGTTATATGGAAGATAATATCACTTTGGAGTGCTATTTAAAGTGAGAAGCTTATTATAATATGATTTTTACTTGCTAGAAGATGGGGTAAGGTTTTGAGGTTATATTTTATTCAATGTTGTGCTAGGAATTGAAATTTTGGTCCCTTGTTGTTCCATAGGTGTTTATCAAGTTCAAATAGATGCAGAACAGCAGAAAGTTACAGTTTTAGGAAGTGTGGATTCTGCAACTCTGATCAAGAAACTCGTTAGAGCTGGTAAATATGCTGAACTCTGGTCTCAGAAAACAAACCAGAACCAAAAGCAGAAGAACAACAATGCCAAGGATGAGAAAAATAAAGGGCAAAAGCAAGGACTCCCCAAGGGGATTGAGGCCTTCAAAAACCAGCATCAAAAGTTTCCTGCTTTTAGTTCTGAGGAGGATGAATACTACTTCGAAACCGATGAGGAGGACGAAGATGAAGACGAAGAGATGCGGATGCTCAGGGAGAAAGCCATTCAGATGAAAATGCTCAAGCATCAACCTCCCAATGCAAACAATGTGAGAAAAGGCATGGGAAGCATTTCAGCAGGTGCCAATAATGGTAAGATGAACAATGCTTGCAATGCCAATAGTGGTAAGAAAGGAGGTCCAAATCATAATATGGCTATGAAGGACAATCCTAATGGGCTTGATCAGAAAACCATGGCAGCTCTTAAATTAAACAATGCCCACCTGAATGGTGAAGGCCTTAACCTCAACCTTGGTGAAGCCAAAAGGGCCAATGACATTGGTGCTATGATGAATCTAGCTGGTTTTCATGGTAATGGTGCAAATGTTGGTAGTGCTACTGTTCTAGGTGGCAATAATTCCAATGGTTTTGGAGGTTTTCCTGTTCAGTCCAATAACATGATTCCAGGGTCTTCTGCAGCTTTTCCAAGTGGTGGTCTTGCTTCTGGCCAATATCCATCTTCTCTGCTAATGAACATGAATGGCTTCAATAACCATACATCTCCATCTCCTTTAATGATGAACATGAACATGCAGGCAAGGCAAGCCATGCAGCAACAACCCCAGATGATGTATCACAGGTCTCCTTTTGTTCCCCCCAACACTGGCTATTACTACAACCACAGTGGCTACAGCCCTGCACATTACTCCTACTCCTATGGCTTGCCTAGTTACCCTGGTGGTGATGATCACACTGCAGCTCACATGTTCAGTGATGACAACACCAGCAGCAGCTGTTCAATAATGTAATGATAGGTTGTAGAGCCAAAAAAGTGAAAACAAAAGAAAAGAAAGCAAAAAAGGATGGTGTTTGACCTTAAAGTCCCATTTACTAAGCTAGTATAGTGTTTGACTGTAATTTGGTGGGGGCATATGAATGTGTTAGGGATGGATGGAAGTGTGAGTTAGTGAATCATCAGTGTACTCTGTAGTGGTTGAGATGATGTTTGCCTTTATTTTTAAAAAAATTGTCCTTGGTTGTTCTGTCTCATGAGTCATGACTGGCTTTGTATGAGAAAGTAGATGAACATGTGTTATGCTAAAGTCCTAACTTTTTTCAGGCTAAATAAAGTGGTATATGCATCTATTTAAGTAAGCTAAGTGAATATGAGAACCTAACTTTTGGGTTTTCATTTTATTTTATTATTATTGGATATGGGACTATCCTGTCAAATTACACAAGGTGACATGAGTCGCTGTTTTCTGTGCACTGTGACATGATGACACCGTGTGTCTTGGAACAGTTGGGTTGACAATGTGCATCGCTGTGAGTAATGGTATTATTGTGCACGTTAGGTGGTACGCACGCGCGTGTCACGTGCTGGATCATGCAGTGCTGTGACCGGCAGGACCACATTACAACTTGAAAGTTGGTGATATAATAATTCATGTTTACTAGTATGCTAATTATACACAGTATATATGACGCTGACATACCTACAGCCAGGTATAACTTGTAGTATATTAATTGTCACTAACAAAGCACATGCACTGTGTTTGTGTAAGGGGCTTATCCAAGAGAATTTTAAACCCAACAAAACACGTTGTAGCCTTTTCTAGTTGGGAAAAAGGAGCTTAAAAAGGGTTTAAGCAGAAACTATTGGAAGTTGGAACTGCTACCTCCTAGCATTCCCTAGGGTCCTTGCCTTTGCTTTCCTTCACATATTTTTATTCATGGTGCTCATCAATTCTCAGGGTGGGTCAACTGGTCAAGTAATTATTTTTTAAAGTTCAAACATTCTTTAAGGAGTTAACCGTTCATCTAAAATAGAATAAACACTTTTATTAGTAAAATAAAGGAATAGGGTTTTTTTAAGGAAAAAGGAATAATATTTGCATTTGATTTTTTGGGGAAATTATCCTTAGGTCATTTTTTGTCTAGTTGATTTAATTTGTTCATTTAGTATTAAAAAGTTCAAACTCTTAATTTTAAAAATTGATCTAATATTATCCTTATGTTTAAAGTCTTCAAAGTTTAAATCTCATTATGATGTGATAAGTAGGTATATCTTATTCTACCAAAAATGTTGTAATTGGTTGATGGTTGGATTGTTACAAAGGAAGGGACAAATAGCAGGGAGGGCTATCTTGTCTTGAAAACAAAACCCTAATGCCAAGACAAGGAGAATCCATGGACCATGGACAAATAAATAATCAACCTAGTATATTGGAAAATTAATTACTTTTGAAGAAGCACTTTAAAATAACATCTAATTCAAATAGGTTAATTCACGTGTTTTCATGAACAAACTAATAGTAGTAGTATTCTTTTACTATCTCAACTACGACCGTTAGATATATGATGAGTATTTTATATATTGTATTCTCTGTTTTGGTCAAAGAATAGATGTCATTTGCGACACAAATAAAGATCTATTCCAAGTAAGGAACCATATTGTTACAGTTAAATAAATTAATAAGAAATTCACCATTACATAACAAAGTACTTTCTTAATTAAGCTTAACAGAACTCTTCATTGTTCATGCAAAGAGTTTTTTTATCTAATTGTCAATAATATAATATAGGATATGTCATATACACTTCTAAAATATATAGAAAATACATAAAATTTTTCAATAAGTTAAAATTAACACATATAAATTAAAAAATAATTTATACAAATTACTTTTTATATAAACAAATTTTAGTTCTAAATTTTTATTATATTTTTATTCTAAAAATATATATATGAAGAAATTTATCCGATAAGATTGACTCTCTTCTCCTCCATTATCAAGCAAATTAATTACTAGATTGATGGAACCATTTGACCTGCTTATAAAGAAAGAGAGTGGAGAATCAAAGGCATGGCAACAACATTTGTGGTTCAACTCCATGTGAGATTGAGATTATCTACTAATCCTATTTCTAAGTTGTTCTTTATGGATACGGGTTTTGAAGCATCACTACAGGACACAACCATGGTTTTGCATAGACAAACCATTATTTTATTTTATTTTTACTAGAACAAACCATTATTTAAACCATATAGCTAATCTTTCATAGCATGTGTGTGACACCCTTCTACCCCATAATAGATAAGTAACAATTTTAAGAAAAAAATAGCTTTATACCTAACATGCATTTTTATTCATTTATATATTCTATCTCAATCCCTATCAACTAGGTGGCTTTTTTTTTTTTGTTGCTATTGTTTTGTTTATGTTGGTACTACTCAGTTTTTAATGTTTATGAATCTCAGCTAATGTAATTATGTGACTTTAAACATGTTTTGACAACTGATCTGTAATCAAGATTCCAAGATCTGCTAATGTTGTAGCTCACAATGCTAGAAAATGAGTATCATATGCTTGTAATTTTGAGCTTATTTTCATCTACTCAGGGTGTGTTTGGAAAACCTATGAAAATTAAATTATTTCAATAATCGATTATTTTTATAATTAATTATAATCAAAATGAAATTTTGTTTGGGTAAGTTTGCTGAAAAGCAATTTTAAAGTGTTTAATTTCTTTTGGATATGACAAAAAAAATCAATTTCTATGCTGTAAATCAGCTTAAAAGGAAAAAAGCTGTTGAGAAGTAATCGTAAGGTTCAAATTTTCATCTTCATAAAAACAGCTTATTTTTTATGAAAAAAAGTTGTTTAAAAATTTAAGTTGTTGTCTCAAATGCACAATATTTTTTTTGTAACATCTTTTTCTCCAAAAGGAAGCTGAAATGAGAGATTATAATCTCTCCCAAACATGCTCTCAATCTCTTCTTTTCTAGCACTTGTGTGATCTAGCTTTCCAATGTTTACCATGCTGTATCTTTCAGGTTGCTGCATTATTACTTTCATCACATAGTAGGAGAAACATCTATTTGTGAGAAACGAGAATTCAACCCTTCAAAGAAAGGCCGGAAAATTTCAAAGGAACTTGTTGCAGGTAATTGTTGCTCACATCTTTGCTTCACAGTTCACACACTTAAACCGCATATGATTTGCATGTATGAGCTTCACCTCCCATCTTCTGCTTTTATTTCTCTTCTGTCTGATGATTCTTCATAGTCATTGATTCTAGGCAATGGAGAAAAGGCCTGAACATGGTGCCAACACATCACTATTGCCTTCTACTGGATTTGGATCCAGGTTCTCGAATTTGAACAAGTCTTTCAAATATTCTCTCCGATCTTTGCTCACTTCATGCTCAAAGGAGGTACACTTTGTTGTTCTTTCTTCTCTCCCCTCTGACGGCTGTTTTTAATTGTGTCGTGGTAGAAAAGCTGAAAGGGGGGAACAATATAGGCATGTAAAATATATTAACTTTTTAACCCTGTATGTTGTTTCTAATAAAATACTACTACTACTAATAATAATAATAACAATTTGTGAGTACAGAAACTGAATATCCTCAATATTTTAATTTAACTTCTAAGTTAATAGAAACTATTTGGCCTAAGGGGAAATGTAGAAGTACCACATAACCACAGCTCCCTGGGAAAGACCTGGGTAACAAGTATTGTCTGTTTTTTGTTTTATTTTTCATGCATTGGTTCCCTTTAGATTTGTTGATTGTCACGTCACAAGGACTAGTGCCACACCCTCCCTTTGTGTTGCTGGTCTTGTAATTAGTGTTTTGTTGCTATTTCAATAAACTAACATTACCAATTACAATACTAGACCAAAAGAAATGATTGATGATAAGTTGATATTGGGGATTTCTATAATAATACTTGCTGACGCGTACATTAAAGATGAGTTGGTATTGGTAACTCACATCACAATTGTGTGGTATCATCCCTGTAGTTTATAGACAAATAAAATATTACCCAGATTTAGGCCACTAGTTCAGATCAGGTGCTTTTGCACTAAGAATATAGCCAGAACATGTTTACATTGATACCGGCATAAATCTGAAATTATGTTAATATTTTGCATATCAAAATGGCTATATATTGATGCATGTTTCTTTTGATTTGTAAAGGAATTTTTTAAAGCATTTTCAAGTTTCTCTAACAATGAAAAGGAGTTGCTCCATCGTCTATTTCTTCAGGTATGATCTCTCAATATCAATTTGTTCATATTAGAAATATATTTCTGAATGTTACGTCGAGTTTTAGCTTGGTAAGGAACTCGTGACAAAGAGTTTGATCCAGGTCATCATTTTTTATATGCGATTTTCCAAATCAATTGTGTTTTGAAATCAGAGCAGTGATCCCTTGGATTTCATTGATTTCCGCTCGGATGAGATTTTATACTGACAATTTGTCAGTGTTATACATTCAAAACTTTTGGTGCAAGTGCAACCTTGTTGTTAGATATTATATAATATTTCTTGGCCACTTAATACTAGGTAGGTTCAAAGAAGGTATTAGTAAAATGAACAAGGCATTAACTGTGATTACTTAGGAACATCTATTGAGATATGAAATTTAACAAGACATTTGGGGTATCAAGCATATTTCTTTTAACATATCAGGATATATATCATAAACCTACTATCCCAAATCATTGAGTGAAGGCATATAAATGGTTTTTATGTCTAACATGCCCCCTCACACTAGCCTTATGTGACTTAATGCCTAAGTATATTCCATCAAAGTTTTCTTTAAAATTGTAGTCATTTAGTATTTTTATAATCACTATTATTATCAACAGATCAATCTGCTGAGTGGGAGATTCACTCCAGCATATTTAAAAAATGAAATCTTTGCCAAATAATATACAAAAGACAAGGTTGACGAAGTCAACTAAAATGCTAAGAATCATTTAAAAATAATATTTATTGTCCCTTCTCTTGTATTAATATTGAGATTTCCGTTGAAATTACTTTTGTTATCATTGTAAATCATTTTAATTCTATCAACGGACTCAAACACGGCAAGTATACTGGCCGTTCAAGTAGTAAATTATATCGTATCCACAGGAACTAGTAGGTAAAATAAGCATTTATTGACTATTCGTGACTAAAGAATAATTCCATTTTCATAGATTGTCATGCAAATTTGAATTAAAGGTTATGACTATTGAAATGTTAAACTATAAAACTATTTGTTTTGTGTGTGGAAAAGGTAGAAATGGTATTATGGTTTTGTAAGATTGTGGGGTCAGATATCACCAAACTACACACTGATGAATCTTTAATCTCTTGTTACATTCATTGCTTAGTCAACCCATAAGTTTACTCAAACCTAATCCCTTAGAGCAAGAGCCTAGGTGTAAGTAATGAATATCAATTCCTTGAGTATCCAATACCTACATCTGCATTACGGATTAGGGTTTAAGACTACTAATGGGCCAAACTCCATTCCTAAATACATTTCCCACTAGGCATTTGTTTCAGAGCTAGTTTCAATTGTTATTTTCCAATACCCAATGGAACCTATATCAAGCAAAGGAGGATCAATCCAAAGCAAGCATTAAGAATAGAAACATACACAACAATGAATGAAACAACATGTATATATATATCATTAAAAACGTAAGGATTACATAAGAGTATCGTTGGTTACATCTAACCCCACAAAATAATGGGTAGAACTGCTCAAAACAATGAGGGTAAAACAAAAATAGAGATGGAAGAGAGATGGAAGAACCGAAGGAAAGACCCACACATGAACGGTCCCAAGCACCGGGAATCCCTTCCTTAGCTCCTAGAAGTCGCCCAATGTGTGAATGAGGGGAAAATCCTCGAAGACTTGTTCAAATACGAGTTGGGGGTAGGGATGGCAACGAGGCGGATTTGGTATGGGTTTCATGATACCCGTCCCCGTCCCCGCGAGTTTAACCCATCCTCGTCTCAGTCCCCATACCCGTCGGATATAGATTTTCATCCCCATCCCCGTCCCCGTCGGGTATCGGGTATACCCGTACCCGTACCCGTACCCGTCAAATTTTTTATTTTTTATTTTTTGTAAAAAAAATATGATATTTTTAAATTATTTTTTTTATTATATTATAATTATAATTAGGTTATTTCTTTATCTCATATTATAATAAGTAATCACACATAAAAAAAATATTAAATTTTTTTAATATAATTAAATTAAAAGTGAGTATTAAATTAAAAATGAGAACGGGGACGGGTACGTGTACGAGTACGGGGCAGGTAAGTACATACATGTACCCGTACCCGATTTAATATATTGGGTTTTACCCGTACTCGTACCCGTACCCGGTCAAACCGGGTATTCCCCGTCAAAGTCGGGATGGGTTCGGGTATTACCCGCGGGTACGGGTATATTTGTCATCCCTAGCTGAGGGAGTCAGATTAGGGTTACCACGCCCGGCGCATTATGCTTTTCGCCCGGCGCAGGGCCTTCCAGAGAGTTTGAGTTGCTCTCTATCTCAAGCACGCCCAACGCGTCTTCTTGCGCCCGGCGCATTTATGAATTGCAGAAAGTGTGGCTCTCTGTTCTTCTCAAGCCCGGTGCGGGTAGTCTTGCGCCCGGCGCGGTTACTTTTCTCTTGCTCCTTAGCTCCTTTAATTTCCAATCCAATGAGTCTTCAACTTTCAACTCTTCACTCAATACCTGTACAAAAAATAAGGTGTATCAAGGTATTGTTAGATGAAATTGGGTTAGCTATATCTGCACAAAAATTGAATCAAAAAGAGAACAATTATCTTGCAAGGGTGCATAGGATGAGTGAAATTGTTTAATAAGTCTTGTCTAAAAAGAAGTATAATTGAGACTTAACAATTAACACTCAAGTTTTCAATTCATAATACAAACATTCAAATCTTTTATCTTAAGTCATCTTCACTTTCATTTTCTAACACCTTTATTCTGAAACATTTACTTTAAGCTAAAATATTGTTGAGACTCATCTAGTGATGTGGACCTTATTTCTTATTTATCAATGAAGTGTTTAGATACACATTTGTAGAATTAATTTTTAATTAACGTGTTTTTTTATAAATTTCGTTCTAAATAAATTTGAATGTGTAGTAACATGACTTTTAATTGGATATAAATGTTAAAAAAAATAATGATTTTAACACATAATGTTGTTTAAAAATTTGTAACTAAAATTGATTTTGAATTTGTAATTATCAAATAACTTGAGTTTAACTAAGGATATACATAAAATAAATAACATAACTCAAATTCAAATTGATATGTAAAATTCACTTCTAATAATGAGACTTGAATCTAAAACTTAAAAATTATGTTCTCAATACGGTCAATGAAGTTGAGGCATGACATATGTGAATCCAAATTCTTATACTAGTACATCAAATCCAAAAAAAAAAAAAAAAAGTCAATAATAATGTGTTAGAAACTACTTTTTTTTTCTTCTCATTATTTGTCTTCTAAACAAAATAATATTTATTAAAAAATTATAATTCTTTAAACAAATTATTGTAGATAAAAAATCACTTTTTTTTTGGGTAGTCTTTATACATGCAATTATGACTTTGCTAAGTTCGTTCGCGTACTTTCTCCTACTCTGGAATTTAGTTTAGTTTCAACTTCGTCCCCTTTTGTCCAACGGAATATTTTGTTACTAATCATTGTACTTATACCTCTTTTTACATTCTTTTAAATATTACATTCTTTACTTCTTTTTTGTGTGAGGTCACTTCGAATATCAATTGCTCCTAACATGATGTAGGGGTTAGCTTAAAAAATAACCTTTACTTTAATCTTTCAACTTTTTAGTTAATTAATTTTATCTTTAAATAAAATAAATTTTATTCTTATGACAATTCTATTTGACCGAAAATCTTTGTATTCCTATTTTCTGTCCAAATATTATTTAGAGGTTTATGATGAATTAGAGATATGAAATAATTTAATAAGTTTAAAAGTTAAATATTTGATAAAATTTGAAGAATTTTCTAAGATGTCAGATTTTGTATTGAAAATGAAAACAAAACAACAACAATAACAATAATTTTGAATGAAAAAAAAAGAAGTTGAAACGATCTAATAGGTTCAGTTTATGAAAAAATTGAGTGAAACAAGTTAGAATTTGAGGATCTTTGCTAAAATAATTAACAGTCTTTGTTTAAAAATAAATGTAATTAGTTGGCTTAAAAAATATTACGGGATCAAAATAGCATATAATCCATATTAAAGAAAACAAGTACGCCGTTAATAAAAAGTAATTCGTAAAGAAATTTTCTTTTTTACTTATCCAGAAATTAGTGGCTTGAAAATATTAGCAATTAATGTAGGGGACTTTTAAGGGGATTTGAGGATTATAGTTTTGTTTTTCTTCTGAAGATTATAGTATTGTTGAAAATTTAAAAATAAGGTGATAAAAATATGTTCTTGATTTGAATTCTACAATCCATGCTTCTTAATTAAGTGTATTTAATTGCTTTCATCAAATGCCTTAGAGGGGCAGGATTCACCTAATTACAACTAAATAGACTAAATTAAATTGCTTTTGTAAGCAAAATAAAGGATCAAAAGTGTTATTTCATTACATGCATTGGTATTTTGCTTAGACAAAAATAAAGTTCTTTGGAAATAACTAGGAGTTTCCCACCTCTGCAGATTAAAATTCAGCATGAACAAATTATCCCAATGTTAGTCCTACGAGAAATCTATCAAGAGTACAAACCACAACACTATTGCAATCTTAACTTTCCTTCCCGCTGCAGAAAATTGATGATCCTCATATAATAATAATAATAATAATAATACATGACAATCATCAATTTCTTTTCACAACTGCATCAAGCCTTGGGAGGTTCTGATGCAAATTTTATTCAGAAATCAAATTCCAAACACGAACACAACTATCCTCTCCTGAACTGGCCACCCTTTCCTGATCAATAAAAACCAACCCATATACCCCACCTAGATGGGCACCTTTAATGGTTCTGCGGCTTGATGCTGGCTTTCCAACTTCATATATGATGACACATGTATCCAATGAACCAGTAGCTACCAGAGTGCTATCAGGTGACCAAGCTAGGCAGTTAATACGTGCAGTGTTAAATAACATGTTATTAACCTTCACCTGAAAGACAAAATTCAGTCAAATGCAAATGCCAGCTCGAGAAGGGAAGAATCTATCTAGTCAACATACACAGCTTTGCATTTCAATAACTTTGCCATCTATAAAGCCCACGAACTTCAAGAAATCAGCCGCGTCTGTGTTGGAAACTGCGTTGGTCATTCAAAGTTTGTTGTGTTTGTGTCAGTGACAAAGCACTGTCATTAAAAACTTACGTTTTGTATCGGATTTTTTTTAATTTTTTGGGTCCTTTATTAGATCTGCCAATAAGTAGATACATCCGGCGTGTTCCTTACGTAGCAACATTCAATACTCAAACGTTATATTTTCTTGTAATCATCCTAATATACATAACATGTACACACATACATACAAAAAGAATATCACCTTTACTCAACTGAACATTTGAAATTTGGTTATATAGAGTAGTAAAACCAAATATAACACTCAGTAGTCAAAACTTGAAAGAGGATCTTCATTTTGTCATGGATTTGAGTTAATTAGTTAGCCTCTCCTTAAATAAATCAAGAATTATGGCTACCCAAGTGATTTCATCAGTGATGCACATTATGGAAGTTAGTTGAAACAAAAATATGAAGTTAACGTACTTGAAATTTAGACGCACACATCATGACGATTCAAGCAAAATCAAGAAGATAAAAAGTCACATATTTCTTATTTCAAATAGAAAAAATCTGTATTGGAGGAACCAAAGTATCCAGGCATGAAAACACATCAGGTAAATTAATTTCAGTCTCATGATGTTACCTCTTTGGAAACACGGTCCCATACAACAGCTTCACGATTCATATCAGCTGATGCAAACATGGAAACGTCTGGAGAGTATCTGATTGCAGTGATGGCACCTCGATGCTTCTCAAGGACACTCACTTCTTTAACTGTATCTCCTGAGACTGAATATATGCGCAACTTACCATCTTGCCCTCCCACAATCGCTTCACTACCATCAGGTGAAATAGTTGCGGCGCTCACAGTAAAGCCCAGGTTTATAGTGGAAACAACTTTAGAACCATTTAGTAAGACAATTCCGGATTCAATTGCAATGATAGCAAGTTCAGGGCTATTGAGTGCAAGGCTCACATCCTTAGGTTGACTTCCAACATCAACAGTGTCAGCAGGGCCAAAATTATCCCCTTGAAGAGGAACTCTGAATACCTTCATTCAGTGCATACAAACTTAAATACTACTAGTAAAGGCAAAAATCATTAGTGTTTAGAACAAAAAGTAAATCCAATGTCAATTAAATCTTAAGTAAAAGAAACAACTACACAAACAATTGACTTTGACAAGATTTACCGCCCAATTATGGAGGCGAAAATTATGAATTGATAATAATGATTGAAGACTTTATCCAATTCATTTGAACCTACAATGAAAGACCTATTGAGCTACATTGCTTCATAAATCATCCAGAACAATATCTTTGAGAAATACCATTAATACAGTGGAAAAATCAGAGACCTAGACCTAGATTCACACCAGACAAAAGTTCAACGTCTAATACTGGAATGAATCAACACACTTGATTTTCCATGTACTTTCAGGATTAAGATAAGCAAAACATACTTCAAATTTTGACGACTACAAATCAGAAATATTAACTACATTTGTCTAAATTTAATTCCACAATCACAGAGGCATCAAACATGGAGTTTCAGTGTTTGCTATGGCAAATTAGATGGACAGAAGATATATTTACATGTTTTTATTTTTTTGCACCAGCAAATCAAGAACCTTTATAATGTGATAAATAAGTGATTACCTTGTTGTCAAATCCAGCAGCAATAACTTCATCTTTGCCAGCTAGTAACAATTTGATTAATCCAAATTGTTTACTGTCAAACTTACCACTGTATCCCATGCCTGGAATCCATCTAATGATCACTCCATCATAGCTGCTAGACAAAAGCATTTTTTCCCTTCTGTTGAGCAGCGTCAAAACGGTTACATTCTTCATGTGACCAGATAATGACACTGGGCTTTTATCTAAATCCTTAGCAGAATATAAATAGATCGTGCCACCAAGAGAGACAGTAAGCACAAAATCATTCTGCCAAAGACAACCAACAAGCATGTCCTCTACTCCGCCAGATTCGGTACATGCCAAAGTCTTATTTACTTTTCCACTACCATCGTCAAGAATATCCCATATTTTCGCAGATTTGTCAGCAGACACAGTAACAACCTGGAATTGATTAATACGTAATTTAAATTAGAATGTAAATAGCAGCCCTGGACATTGTAAAAGCATAAACAAAATCAAATCATTTTCTTCCTTGCATGATTAGATTGATATTCGCTCATAAGATATTATACTTGAAAAAAAAAAATCTTTCATTGCCATTGTAATCTACTTGATATTTATACTACTAAGCGCTTAATAATTCTTAACAAGTTCTGCACCTCTCCCCAAAAGATTACAAAAAAAATTGAAAATTTTATCTAATACTGAGTTTGGAACTGCATTCCAAAACCAAGGTGAAGTTGATTGGCAACAGAAGGTACATTACGTATTGTGAGGATGAACAGGCATATGTGGCTCTCGGACGCGATACCAAACATACACCAAGTGTGTGTTTGGTTATCCTCTCATAACGCACATATTAACAAGTTTCCACGTCCAATCAATAAAAATGGCGTAAAAGCTAGTATTATTTGCTTCACTACATGCATCAATCTTCTCTGATGTACCAGTGCAACCAAACACACTGTAAGTCAACTTGAAACAGTAAGGTTAAAACACAAGCAGGAGCTCACCTGTTTGCTGTCAGGACTCCAACTAACTGCATATATGCTGCCTTTGTGACCATCCTCCGAGGACAACTCACCAAGTTTGTTTCCTGTCTTTCCATCATATACAATGCCCTTCCTGTCTGAGCTAACAGTAATAAATTTGGTCCCATCTGGTGAAAATCTAACACAGTTGACAAAATTCGAATGGTCCCTGCAGATACAGAATGTCTTCTATGACAACCTGAATAGAGAAATAGAAACCTACTCAACCGAAAACATTTTTTTCATGCTAAAACAACTTGACCCTATTTTCAAAAGTAAATAGAGGATGCCGTAATATCATACTCTTAATCATACATTATATAGCTAGCTATAACAAAGTTATCTTTTTCCAGACCTTGCAAAAACTCTTGAATCTTGATCATGTCTATTTATGAAATTCTTGATATTCTAATTCTCTAGTAAGATATAAATTCATTTTTCTGTAACAGAAGAGAGATACTAACTCTTGCAGAAAGTCCTTTCACAGGAAATGAATATACACTACCGACTTAGAAAGAAGACAAGAAAAACAAAATGCAGAAGACAGGAGAAGTTCGTACATAATTTGAAGTATTTATCCATAATTAGTATTAAATCGGACAGCAAAATATGCAACCCCAGATAATAAGACTTACCTGATGGACATACTGAATTTGAACGGTGGACCTTCATAAAAATTCGCCAAAAAATCTTCTCCACATGTGACAATGCGGAATGGTCTTGTTGGCTTAAATGAACAGCTTAAAACCCGCCGCGAATGGCCATCAAAATCACCAACAGTGGAACCCGAATCCCACCTTAAAATGCAATATATATTAAAGATGAAAAGATAGGAAGCATATTTGCACATACATGCACTTAGCCAAATTCTTCAAATATAAATCTTCGAACATGTTAATTCAAATTCAAGTATTATGATTTGCTATCGTTATATAATGTATGGCTAGAGCCATAACTGGAAGAAAAAAAAAAGTACACATAAATGCAAACAAATTAATGTCATTTTAGCTAGGAAATTACGTAACTTCTCAATCCATCCAAGTCGTACAATGTCATAAGAAATAATGTAACGATGTAGTTGATAACTGGAAGGTTAACTCTGAGTCCGTGACTAGGTAGTTAAGAGTTTAAATGTGACGGTGTAGTTGATAATGTAATCAATACATATGTACAAAATTCTAATAAAAATACAAAAATGAAAATATACTATTGTCATGCAGAGTGATATTGATGAATGAATTGTATAGACTAATAATGCATAATAGCTATTAAACAACTAAAAAAACATAAATAAACAAAGACATTTATTCGAAGACCTGAACGAAAAACACATTTTAAAAAAATATTTATACGTGGATATTATATTTATGAAGAAAAAAAAACTGCGACCAGTAATGTTAAGAACTAAGATCTACAGTTCACCAAACAAAATCTAGACATTGAAAGTTGAGTCTCCAGTGACCCAGACTGGCTGACTTGGAAGGATTCATCATAATTGAAAAATTTGAGACTCTTTGACACAATGCTCTTGTCTCATATATATATATATATATATATATATATATATAGAGAGAGAGAGAAAGAAGAGGGTTATAATAAAACTTGTATAACTTTTATTTAGTATTACACCGCTCAATAACTTTATATTTTATATAAAATTTGTAAATCTAACTATTAGATTGAAAGTTCTTTACTTTTAAATTGTATATACAAAATTTTATATTAATCCAATAAGATTTGATACTTCATTTTTATAAAATAAAATTAACGTAATATATACATTTTAAAATATATTAAAATATAAACACTACCTCAATTGAACATCAATTTTAACAAAATTTGACATAAACATATAAAGTGGTATAAACTTTCAATCTAACAATTAGATTTACAAAATTAACATTTAATATAAAGTTATTGAACGATGTAATACTTAGTAAATATTATACCGATGTTATTATAACCCGCCTCATATAA